AAAAWWAWKRARGRAAAWTTYSRAARRAAAAAAAATGTACATGTAATTACAATAGCATAATTCTTCCTCTATTGAATTAAATTTGGTTAGAAAAAAAAAATAATAAAATAATAAAAATATAATTAAAACTGAAATAGATTAGCTGGGGAGGTTCTCTTCTAGCCGAAGGTAATCAAACTAGTATTAAATTCTTTTTAGTCAACTGTACAAAATTTGCAAGAGATTTTATGRATACCAAAAAAAGAGAGAGAGAGGGATTTCAAAATAGATTATTGAAAATGTAGGAATTGTATTGTATAATATATGAAATTGATAGCTGCAATAATCAAAATTAAGAACGTTAATTTCTAAATATACAATAATAATTATATAAAAAATCATTAATTCAAGCCTCACTCTAGTAGATAAGACACTACACTATTCTAATAGTCGATGGTTCAATCCCCGCTCTAAAAAATTGTCCAACTAAAAGAATTAATATAAAGAAAATTTAATTAATTAGTTTATTCGAGAAGAGATTTGAGTACAAACTTAACTGGAATTATTAATGAGTACATGTAAAAAAATAAAAAAAAAWTTTTCTAAATAACTATGTTAGCAAGCTTAAGACCCAAGTAAATTTTTTATAATTTAGAAAACAAAAAAGAAGGGTTGTCCATGTTTGGTAATCAACTAGATCCATATGAAATGAAAAATAAAATTAATTAAAATAAAAAGGTGCCTAACTTTTTATTTTTATAATTTGTGTTTTTGATGAGGTGAGATCTACATCTACCCTCTACCAACTAAGCAAAATAGGGATTAGGCAGGCCAACAAAAACCACTTTTACCCAACTCACTTTCATCATCCAAACCTTAACTAAACAAAATTATTATTAATTTCCCAAAAAAAAATAATATGGTAACTTATCTTGAAATTTTCATCTGCATATTTATAGTGTTATGTTTTAAAATTCAGAAAAGATATGATTTTTTATTTTTTAAATTATAATCATAATTGTTTATTTTTCTAGAAAAGGAATCTTCCACTTGGTTGGAGACTTGGAGTTTAGCTATGGGCTTAGCTCCATAAATCGAATCACTTTAATAAATGGATAGAGTTGATGGCTTTATTCAATTATTTTGCAATATATTTATAATTCAAGACCCACTTTCTACATAATAGTTCCAATAAGGATATTAAATTTTTATCCAAAATTTTCAATCACAGTATCAMCAAAATATTATTAATATGAACATGATGTTAATGACAATTTTGAATTTATTTGAAAATGATGAAATACTTTTTTATCCATTTAAATATTTTCTTATAAATTTTTTTTATTTTGTAATTTTTTTTTCAGAAATATTCATCTACATGACATTTTCATGGAACTATTTTCACGATGAAACATCGGCTGCAATTTGGTTTTGACTTTGAGTAGATTCGCTTAAATTCCTATTTAATTACTATTCAAATAACGTCTACAAAATCTTTGAATTTTCCMGCGGTCCTAATTCTGTTAATTCTGCAGTTAACAACATTTTCAAAACCAAATTAGAATAAACTAATAAAAACTACCGTCCCGATGACCATGGAAAAAGTAAATAGAATTGAGATTTAATTCATTAAGATTTGATTCCAATGGTCCCAACAACAATATTGTTGATTAAGCAATTAATTATATAGAATTACAAAATAATAATAACAAGCAAGATTCATAAACCAAATTAAAGAGTCTCAAATTTTCATAAATTATGATAAAGATATTGATGATGACTTGCTATAGACCATTGTTGATAGATGAAGCATTAGGTAATCAATCTCTCTCTGTGTCCCTTGGTTTCAAAGTTCTCCCAATTTATAATTATTGAAAATTATTTGTTTATGGACTTTGGGGGGAAAAAAAAAAGTTGCGTAGAGGCATGCATTATAAACAAACGAAAAAAGAGTGGATTAGAAGCAATCGAAAGATCTCTCAAATTGCATCACCAAGCAAGGGAGATGAAATGAAAGCCAATCCTCAAGCCTCAAGAAAATCAAAACCCCAACTTTTTCTCTATCCTCTTGCTTCGTTCGTAGGCTGAAATTTGCACAATCAAAATCGGCAATCTCGTTAAAAAGACGAGCCCATTTCAATTTCAATCCCAAATCCCAAAACCCACCATTTTGATTCGTCTCTTTCCCCACAAATTCCAATGGAGAGGCCAAGGAAGCTCATCAGAGCATCAGTTTACAGGTTTCTTCAGAATTATCAGTTCTTCACCTCGATTGCAGCTGTCCTGGCATTCCCATATGCCATCTCTGTTCTTCTTTCTCAGGCTCTTCTTCTTCCTTCCTCTTCTCTTCTTCCATTTACTTCCAATCACTTGAAAACTCTCTTTGATGCAGCTGGGTTCCCCACTTCTTCAAAATTCTTCTCAGTTCTCATTCTAAAGCTCTCTCAAACCATAGCTTCATCCATCTATTCTCTACCCTTTTCTCTTACCTTCCTTCTGATTTCTAAGGCCTCTGTAATTCAAGCTCTCAATCAGCAGAAACCCAATTTGCTGCCTTCGTTTTCTTCCATTGTAGCCCTTTACGATCCTCTTTTTATAACCCATCTCTGCAATTTCTTCGTCTTCGTCTCTGCCAATGCAACAGTGTTTTTTCTGCTCTTTTTCGCCTTTAATTGCCTCGAGGGATTTGGGTATTTTTCCCTCAATTGCCTCCTTTTGGTTTCAGCTGCTGGGGCTTTTCTGTATTCAGTAGTAATTGCCAAAGCCATCATAATATGTAATTTAGCTTCGATTTTGTCGGGTATGGAGAGGAGTGGAGGATTCATAGCGATTCTCAAGGCTTGTGTTTTGATTCAGGGGAGCAGCGCCACGGCGCTGTCGGTGGCCCTGCCTTTCAATCTGGGCATGGCAGCCATCGAAGCCCTGTTCCAGTACAGAGTAGTACAAACTTACCATGTGAGGGAGAGATTGGGAGCTTCGATGGTGGTGGAAGGAATGTTTGTCGCCTATTTGTACTCGGTTTTTGTGGTGCTCGACGCCATTGTTAATACCATGTTCTACAAAAGTTGCAGAGCGGGTTCTCGAATCTCTATTTGGATGGATATTGCTGAGAAGGACAATGAAGTTCGCAACCAATTGAAGGATCTGGAAGAACTTCCATGAGAGAATTGTTTCAGGCAGATTGGATCAGAGACTCTCTTGTTAATTTTTACCCTAGAGAGTACTCTATGAATTTGAGGAAACAGAAAAAGGGAAAGAAAGAAAGAAAGAAACCTGAAAAAGATGATTTGGCTGCTTGGAATTACCAGCAAACAATTTTTTATTCTGCATTCAAATTCCTACCTCTTTCAAGTTGTAAATAATCAATCTTTCATGCCATTGGGAAAGGTTTATGCCGCTGGGTTTAGTTTTTTTCTGTCCTTAATACTATATTTGGGTTCTTACTCGTCTATTTTAACATAAATTGTTTACATCAGACCATATTTTCAGAGACATTTTAAGAACCGATCAAAATCGCTCTCAAACATGCTACAAATCACCTAATTAAAACACCTGGGTTAAGGACGAGTTGATCGTGAGCCATGGCGATCTACCTTTTGACAAGATAACTTAAATTGGATGTGGAAATCCACCAAATTTTGCAAGTTATTTTAAACCTATAATGATAAGATCAAACGATCCCTGTCTCAAAATTTCCACTAAAGACAAGCAAGGAATAAGACAATGAAGGGATAATGAAAGTCACATCATGCATGTCAACCACAGTAGCTCCAATTATGGAAAAGAAGGGGAGCAAAATAAGGATAAAACGGATGAGATTTCATTAATAAGTGAATTTTCAATTGAGGAATCAGAATGGGAGAAACGAGGGATTTCAAACCGTAGCCTATATTTTTGATTTATGTTACAGTTACAAGTGGTGAGCAAACCCGTCTTCTAATTACTCTGAATCTGCACTATACAACACCTTCTATGACGGGTTTCAGTCAAAAAATCTACAAATAAGAGGGAGTAAAAAAAAAAAATACTATTTTCATGTTACAACAAACAAAAGAAAAATTTTACATTCTAATGGTATGGAATGGTTAGAGAAGATCTGTACACGGTTTCGTGCTCCGGCTGGACTTGAAAAGATGCAATTTCGACGCATTTGTTCTCTGCCCAAAAAATTTATGCCAAATGCATGCGTTGTCAAAGCCGAAACCAAATCACCTACTGTAATCAAATGACTGATCTAGTACTGAAAATACTCTTCCGAAAAATTCTGCCGGAGGAGCCAAACCCATATCAGAATTTCAGCTACCAGCGCAGAGAAAAATATGTCTCCGAGATTGATCTGTGTATTCAAGATCAGCAGTTGAGTTGGGGCGCGATTTTGTAGGTTCAAGCAGCAGCCGGTCATCAAATATGTACAAATAAACACTTGGGCCCACTCAAAGTTCTGCAGGCATCATCAATAAACAGCCAGTTTGTTTCATATCCACGTTCAAGGTTTTGGCAGTGCAGAAAAAATCAATTGATGCACTTTGGAGCTGGTCATGCGGCATGTTTCCCCTTGGCCGTGAGGTGACAACCGAGTCGTCAAGGAAGGACGAGAGCTCAACCTCTCATACTAGGGTAAGGAGAACTCGTATCACCTATTTCACACTCTTCTTCGTGAGGTTAATTCCTTTGGCATTCTCCATCTCAGCATCCTTCACGGCTTTTTTCTTTTCCAATTCAGCCTGTTTGCAATTCTCTTCATGCGCTTTGCGAAATAATCTCACAAAGTTCAATAGTGTCACTGTAACTGCAGCCCAATTGGTGTAGAATTAGCCATGTAAATATCGCATCAAAATACACGAACATCGAGACTAATAAGAAGCTACAACATCAATCCTTTGAGCATATTAAGTAACTGTATGACGATTTGAACAGTTTGATATTGACAACAAGGGCATGTATATGAAGAGAATAACATCGTTATCACAAATTCAGGTCCATGATTCTACATCTCTTCTTCCAATCATATTCATGAAAACAGACATGGAGGGATTGGGAAAACTAAAATAATATTGCACGACATAACAAAAGTGTCCTAAATTGACCCCGCTTTCCAAGAGGAAAGAATCGAGTATTTGATTAAAAAAAAATCACACATAATAATAATTATTAGGTGGAGAGTTATAGATTGGTAAACAGAAATTTGGAAGAACCGAGGCTTAATTCAATCCAAATATGTTAGACATGTGAACGTGTAGCAAGAAGATAATAGAAAACCAAAGGAACATAGCATACCCTGCTCAAATGGACAGCGAGCCGGGTCCTCACCAAAATATAGAGCAAGTGCATCTGCATTTCTACCCTGTCCACCAAAGGACAAAGAATGAAAAATAAGATCGTTTTCCTTTCCTGACACCATTTAATAGTACTCAAGCAAAATAACAGTTCAATCTTGAAAATTACCACAACAGAATAAAGATTTGTCACCGTTGCCACCTCTGTCTCAGTATGAGAAATGAATTCTTTCAGCGTCTAAATTTTAGAACAATAGAAGTACAGAAAAAGGATTGTCAGGGTACTAAATCAAATTTCAGAATTATTAGAAATAAAGATGCCTTTTTTTTTTGGAGTTGGTCAAAGCCAAAATGAAGAAAACAGATGCATGATTACATTACAAGGTTTTGCTTGGTAAATATATCAAGTTTTATCATAGAATTGATTTTGCTTAGTTAAGATATGAAGTTTTAGATTGCTAAAGTATGGTCTGGATCTGCATCAAAAGGTTGGCTTGAGGAGTTTTTTGAATTGGAGGATTTGTGGGTAAAAAGTGAGATGTTGATCAGTTGTGTGAATCCAATTCTCTTTTCTGATATACTTCAACTTCAGTGGAGATTGCAAACCTTGATTCTTTTTTTCATGAAAATTTTAAAATTTTGTAACATGTTCCAATAACTAGAAAGTTCGAGAACCTGATTACCAAGTTCAATTTCACAATCTGAAGTATGACTAACGAAATTACTAAAGTGAAGTTTTTATGTATAATTCATCAATTCCTTCAACTGGTATGGCAATTGAGAACGTGATTTTACTGGAATTATCCTTTTAAAGTAAACCAATATGTGGCAAAATGCATGTCACTAGAAATTACTCCAGAGGCATATGACTGTCATTCAAAGAAAATCGAATAAATTTAGAATCAGTATGGAAGAATAAAAGGTGAAAAAAATGTTCTTGGGAGAAACATATGAAAAGGCAGATGTACCTTGCGAAAAATTTCAGAAACTGGGCCATCACTTTCAGAAGCAACAAGCTCCTGCTTGACCTTTTCTAACCCCTTAATTATAGCTTGCATTTCTTCTGCTAAGGACTTCAATTGTATCTTCAAAGAGAGAAAAATATGATATTAAAACAAGTCAAGGAACAATTGTCTATCACCACTTAAACAATCTTCCGGATGCTTGGGTAGAAAGGAAACGATTTTTTTTTTTTTTTTGAGAACTGGGAGTCGGAGTTGCTCTCCCATACCCAGGAGTACCCACACCCGCCCCAAGGCTCAAACCCGAGAGACATCAAGGATTTTTGGTGTTAAACTCATCGGAAGATTCGAACTTGAGACCTCTAACTAGTATGACCAAGAGACCCTAAACCCTGACCAACTGGATTGCCTCTTCGGGGTGAAGGGTAATAAATTTTTTCAACAAAGAAACTAGGGAGGAGGATTGGGAGGCCAATACTTGTTCTTTGTTGTGAAGTTCCTCTAAGCTTTGAATTCTCCTTCTACTACTCCAAACTGGAATGCACTTCGAAAATTTCTCAGAAAGTATTTTGCATTTCTAATGAAATTTTCTGTCTCTAATATAAATATATGTGTGTGTAGATAGATAGATAATAGGAACAACCTAGAAGTATTAAAAATAGCAACAAAAATTTTTACCTTGGTTGCTGCCTCAAGGCTACTCAGGTCCAAATGAAAATTAAGAAGAGCTGGTGTCTTTGAAGCCAGGACCTAACAAATTTGAGATTACAAACCAACCTTGAGCTCAAGTATCAAATGGTTCATCTCCCTCCAAAGATGAAAACTAATAAAAGATCTAGAAACGTCATAATCAAACCATGATATCTGATAACTCATTCAGCTCTTTACATCACAACAGCATGCATTACCAAAGACCACTAGTGCAATACACTAAAACTTCTTCAGGCATTCTGCTAGCTTCGTGCTTTATGGATATCACTTCTTTAACACAACGTGTTACATAAGAAAAAAGGTCTATCTATTGCCTACCTTTAAGACTGCCATCCATCACGTTTTAATGTTTTTGGTTTATTAACACATGTACGCTCTAATAGACAGCATAAACGCCAGTTCAGCTCCCACAAAGATTTTCATCATATCAATACTTTGAGTACACATTTGAGAAAATTTCTCTGAAGAATTTTAGTAAATGTCATTTGGCTGAAGACATCTTTTTTCTTTGAGAGACAGGTGTGTCTTCTACAAGGGTTTGAACAGTTCTCGTTTTCTGTGGTTCTTCCTCTCCTCTTGGACCACCTCTTTGGCTGCCGTTTATACTTATTTACATCTTAGTGCAAGTGTCGTGAAAATTAAGAAGCCAGACTTCAGTGCTTATGCAGACATTTCTCACTATGAAAAGGGAACAGGCTAGGTATGCATCACTAATATATCTACATAGTTTTGGAATATATGGAAGTATGATGCACGTGAGACTCCTCTAATCAACCATGAAGGAAATAAAAATAAGTAACCCATTCGAAAGAGAAACAAATTTATGCAAAGGGATTATCAGAAGGAAAACCTTGCAAAGATAATGCATGAGAGTCATCTTATTATTAGAAGCACGTGTATCAGCAAGCTTTAGAAGGCTATCCAACTTGAAGCCTACTGCAGAACCTGTAAGTTCATATTTCATAGGTTTATTTGATTAAACAAAGCTAGCAAATGAATGGACAAAGTTTTCAGGAGATAAATGATGAGATGTCAGACGTGATCACACGATCATTCAACCTGACTATAGGGGCTACTTAACTTTATTAGCATTCATTGAACACGTCCTGAATTAAATTTAATATTAAAATATAACGTATGTATTAAAACACCCAATGACAACAACAACAAAGACAAAAGTAGCATCTAACATGTTTAGCCATTTCTCTCCCAACAAAAACATGTTTAGCCATGAACTCAGTATATTTACATATACCATTGAGCGGAAGCAAACTTAAGATGATAAGAGTAAATGGTGTTTCTTTTTCGATAGTTGGATTGTTTTCCTGTTCTTTAGAAATAAAGATGATAAGCCATTCCTACGGATCAGCAAATAGACTAATCATCAGTAAATAAATGCATGAAACATATGACACCATATGAACCATATAAGTTAAAACAGCAGTCAGCACATTTAGTAGCTGTCCCACGTCACGAGACAGTAAAACTTAAGTTTATCCTAGAAAATAATAGTTTCACACCACAGAAAGAATTCATCATAAAATATTTGTATTTATTTGCAAGTTATGTTCATATTTTCTTCCAACCTAGGCATAAAAATAGATGTAAATAAGAAGTAGGTATGCTAAAGATGTCAAAAATAGTTCACATACAAACAGCATATTCCAATTTCCCCAAGTATTTTAAACCTTACCCCTTGCTGTTCCTTGATTCAGTGTATTCCCCAGGTAAAGAATTTTCTTCATAATCTCCTTCAGTTTGGCAGAATTCCTAACCTAAAAAAACAGTAATTGTTAATTTTAGAAAGGGGGAAAGCAAGGTTAAAGTGACGACCAGAATGATGGCAAGGTTTTATTCCAAGTAATAACAACCTGATCACATGCAGAGTTGACTGTGTTTAAACCCTTCTTAAATTCTGATATCTGCAGAATGGAAAAAAGATGCCAGGTAAAAGATATAATTAAATAATCCAGAAACATTAAAACTACAAAATTAGTTGAAATTGCAGATACCAGAGTGCTTTCATTGATGGAAGACAAATCCTTGATCCAATCTTAATTGCAAATGAGTTGGAAGACTACAAAGCTAAAAGGAAGAGAGGTTGGTTGCTTAAGCTCGATATTGAAAAGGCTTTCAATAAGCTAGATTGGGACTTTTTAGAAGATGTGTTGATCAAGAAAGGTTTCCGCCAGAGAAGACTTAGTTGAATAAATGGTTGTATCAGGAGAACCAAGTTTTCTATTTCCATCGACTGAAGACCAAGAGGGAGGATCAAATGCTTCAAGAGGTTTAAGACAAGATCACCCTCTCTCACCTTTTCTTTCTATTTTTTTTATATCCGTGAGTCAGCTTACGTGCACCTCAACTAATCTCACGGAGCAACCGCTTAACCCTACAATATTTGGTGCCGGGAAACACATAAGAATTACTAATTCCTAAGGTAGGTGGTCATAATGTGGTTTGAACTCATTCCTTCTTAATTAACCCTAGCCCCTTTGGACCAATGAGCCACCATGATAGTTACCTTTTCTTTCTATTTAACCCTAGCTCCTTTGGACCAATGAGCCACCATGATAGTTACCTTTTCTTTCTATTTGTTAAGAACTAATAAACCACCACTCGACCCAAAAGTTTGTTTCTTATTATAAAAATAATTTTAAAAAATGCAGATATCACCCACCTGAGCGCGGAACTGAATCTTGAATGAAAATACTCTCAACTTCGACTCTACTCGAGGCACTTTCATCAGCTCCAAAAAATACTGATATGCAAGATAAGACAAAGTAAATAAATGGCTTTAAACCATGATAACCAAACAAATCAAAAAGTTAGATCTTAGATAAAGAAAGAAACTTCAGAATATGATTTTTCACTAACACTTAATGACAAATGTAACAATCATCGTTTAATTCAAAAGATAGAGAGCAAATGAAGTGAAAGGGAGCAAGTAGGCAAGTGTGAGCTAGTCAAATGGGTCCAAGAAGCTTTAACAAATAATTCTTAAAGCAAAAGTCAATAACTGAAATTTAAAACTCACATTTAAAAAGGAAAAGAGAGAGAGAGAGAGGGAGATCAGTGCAACATATGTCCCACATGAGATGCATAAAAAATTTCTGGGAAAGAACGAATGCATAACAAAAACAAAAACCAAAAAAAAAAATACCAATTTGATCATATGTTAAACAACAGGGTCGAATTATTACAGGGTCTCAGTGGCAAAAGTCTTGACTATAAAGGATGCTTATGCATTTGCATTTTTTACCGTCTTACATAATATTACATTATTTTACAAGCATTAGTCAATCATAATGAATATTTTAGTCGATATCAGGAAAATGCAACAGCAAGTTAATATTTTTAAGGCATCACCATTACATGGAAATACTTGGTCCAACAAATCTAATGACTGGATCAAGTAACTTGTAATGTTCAACAAAGCAACAAAATACCTGTTCACACTTTCCAAGGTTTTCCTTATCACCAGTGTATCCCTAGATAATAGAAAATAAACATGTCAGCAAAATCATAAAAAGTAGAAGAAAAAATTAAGGTTCAGGATATGTTACTACAGAATAATCAGTATTCTGAAGAAATAGGAAATGCTAATAGTGAAGTTTAATTCTTCCATGAGCAGTTAATCCCAAATATTAAAAAGTTCACCTTAAGAAGTTCCATCTCCTCCTTTGTAGGACAAAACTTTATGAGGTTTTCCACCTGATCAACATCTAATACTGACTCGTCCATTGCCAGTACTGCAGCCTGAGACACCATACATTAAAAGCTAGATTTTTCATCAATTACGTTCATCATTATCAATAAAATATATGACCATCGCCAAAAACAAGTGTTTTCAAATGGAAAATGAAGTTGTAGATTATCAACTCAGTATCTCTAACTAAGCGCTATCAGTCTCAAGGGCCGTCTGTTTATAAGAGCAAGATTTAAACTTAAGAATATGCATGTGCTCAATCTAGTATCTTGAAAAGTTTTTCAGCCATGAAATTTTTATTTTGTTAAAATTCATTGCTTTCAGGTGAAGAAAGGTGATACAATGTCGTGAGCAGTTTACTCAGGCTTGGTTTAAGATATGAAGTCTGTAATAATTATAATGAGGATAGGTGGTGTTCTTAAAACCCAAGCACCATTTACAGCTTGCAAAAGAATTGTTGCTCATCTTTCTTACCTAATAAGGAAAAGGGGCAGAATAAGAGTGATGGTATGAGATAAGAATAGCTGTTGTGGGTCAGTAAATTTTTTATCCCTTAACTACAATCGCTACGGTTTTCAATTGTTGCAGGATGCAGATAATTTGGCCATTTGGTCAACCAAGAGCGAAGGAATTGGAACCAGCTGGAACAAGAGGAATATTTAAGGATCATATGGAAACCACCATCTCTCCTACTACCCAGAATGTGTAGTGGAAGGATTTGAACCATCAGCTATCCTAATGTTCCAGCAGAATAGGACCTAGGCCTGCTCCCTCCGGACAATTTGACAAAATTATCTAATATTCATGGTAAAAAAAATCTAAGAGCAACATGGACACCAATTATTACAACAGTGGATATAATTTCTAGATAGGCCTAATCAACATGATTATGGAAAGAAAATATGGTATTAAGTCGTGTACAACATTCATTTAATGCCCTTGCATATGGTCCTAAACCTACCATGAAAAGCCAGTACAAAGAGTATATGATAGTTTCAGTTAATGCGTAGATATATCAAAAATAAGAACTTAGTCAAATCATCTTACCATCATATCAGCAAGTGGCATCTTTACTTTCGTGAGCATAATTTCAGTATTGTTTGCTCTCCTGAGGTCAATCTACAGAAAATATGATATGCTAAAATTTTTCATTTCATCGGCATATAATATAATAAAGAAATAAAATCTTGTACATCATAAAATTGTTTCAGTATTCAATACTACTACAAACAGGCAACAAAGCCCCTAAATATCCAAGAAATTAGCAGTATAAGAGTTCCACCACCAATAAAGTGAGAAATATGATTCGGCAGGTATTGAAATCTAACTCAGTCTAAAGTGCATCCACCACCAATAAAATTATGATGCAATTTTTATTTCTTGGGCTGCTTTCCTTTCACTTTGGTTTGTATCTCTCAAATATCTTTTTTTCTTTCCCTTCAGTTTTCTTAAGGAATGCAGAATCTCAGAAGGGAAAAATTGATGTTACAATTGCTTAAATCTGATAATGGCAACTTCACTTCCGCATTTGAAGGTTCCCAAGTACTACATAAATTAGCAAAGATCACATTGTTCTCCAAAGAAGAAATTAACCATTTATGATGTCTGTCAAGAATTAGAGTAGTACATCAATCTACACTTGCTAGTTCTGTTCTGCATTCCAAAAAGTGGTGATTTTCTAGGATCAATGAATTTTCTGATACTTTGAGAATAGGAACTGAAGCTTGACATACTAAACTTTGAGCTACAGGTTCGAATTTGTTTGAATTAATTTCTTCATTGCTTTACACGAGCTCGTAAGTGGTGATGAATTTATGATGTCGTAAGTGGTGATAAATTTATGATGTCTGCCAAGAATTAGAGTTCTAGATCAACCTACACTTTCTAGTTCTGTTCTGCATTCCAAAAACTGGTGATTTTCTAGGCTCAATGAATTTTCTGATACTATGAGAATAGGAACTGGAGGTTGTCGTACTAAACTTTAAGCTACTGTTTCGAATTTGTTTGAATTAATTTCTCCATTGTGTTACAGGGTACCGCTCTTAAGTCACACCGATACAAATCACCAATTAAAAACTCTCCCACTTCAAGTGTTAATTGTATCAAGTTTTCAAATAGTTCATAAATATTTGACAGATGAAAACTATATACATATTAATCCTTAAAAGTACTTTCCATCATCAAGAATGAAAGTTCCAACAACAGATTATCTTAAAATTACCAGGTGAACTTTATCAGTTTTGGATCCAGCAGACTTCCTTCGCCCTCCAGATTTATCAGCAGGTTTGGGAACAGTTGCAGAAAAGAGTGTCTCTATCTCGGACACATCAAACTCTGGTGCACTGAGGGAGAGGGAAAAAAAGGAAGCACCACCAAGAAGCAAACAGCATAGAACTTATTAAAAATACTAAGAATTGTATCCTCTGGAAGAAGGCAGAGGAAGAATTTCAAATTCAAATAAGCAGAATACATAAAAAGAGAATTCAAAATACATTTGAGGCTCGCCAAATCTTTGCAGTTCTTCCCACAAGCTCCCTTGCAGAGCCCTTGTTACTTTGCTCCAATGTAGAGGCTTTAAGGAAGACCTTCGAGGTGCTGTAGTACTTGAGCGTGATAGCCCACGCCCTCTTCCAGCAGACAAACCTCTTGGGTCTGGTGGCGCACTTGCTCCTTTTGCACCTAGTGGTGGAGGAGGAGGAGGTCCACCACCTGGAGGTCCAGGAGGGGTGGGAGGTCCTGGAGCACGACCTCCAGGAGGGGGAGGTG